TGCACGATTCTGTAATTTTTGGAGCTTATCACTCAAGTAACCACTCAAACAGTCCCAGACGGGGCTGCAGTAATCAAAATGAGGCATAATTAAAGCGTTATAAATTTGAATTGCAGTTTCTTTGGATATAAAGGGCCGCACACGTTTTAGGGCGCCTATAGCTGAAGAGACTTTCTTGCAAATCTCTTCAACGTGTTTACCCCAAGAGAGTTGAGCATCTATGGTAAGACCCAAGGATTTGGTATGATCGACTCTCTTAATAATTTGGTCATCAATTCTGATTTCTACATCGTCACATTGGGCAGATAGTCTTTGTCTTGATCCAATAATCATTAGCTCTGTTTTAGCAACATTTAGACTGAGCTTGTTAGCTTTCAGCCAACAGCTAAGGTTATTTAATTCAGGGGTTAGAGCTAGCTTAAGCTCTGTTAACGTCTTAGCAGATAACGTAAGGTTGGTGTCATCGGCAAACATTCTTGGTACGGCGCCCCGCAGGGAGTTGGGAAGATCATTACTCCCGCCACCCAAGAAAAGAATTGCGTAACCTTTGTTTTTTATTTCTCTTGGGACGACTGTTATACCCAAGAGAAATTGGAAACAATGATTATGCAAAATTTTGGGGGTAAACACGGTACATTATGGTCAATATGAAAATAGCGAATTGGGAAATCACGAGGACGTCTAAGGACTAGGCTGCAGTAGTATCTGAAGGTCTCTACCGCCCCTCCCACCACCATTGACCTATCAATAAACTTATATTAGTTATCCTCAATTTATCATAATAGATAGGACTAAAACTTTTACTCCCCATGACAGGAGTCCCGTTTTAGAGAGCACTATATGCATTATAAAAATCGATTGCAATCTATTCTCCGTGTAAGGAACCTAGTACATTATAGTATTTTTTCATGCGCAATCTGTTTTCTTTGTTCGAAGAACAACTTCCAGAAACTGTCAACCCAAGCACAACGTACTTTTTCTAAAAACGCACAAAACTGGAAGCAGTACCTTGACCAACATACTGAACCGCTATGGGGACATACACAACTTAACCTTCGCGTTACCGCAGGATGGTTTTTATAATTTCTACTGGCCCTTACCATTCGAGAAATCATTTATAAAAGACACAAAGGGAAACCAACCTAACATATTGTGCCACCATGCCAGATGGAACAAGAATCCAATGAAGGAGTTGATGGCCTTGGACTCAGTTTTTATCACAATACTTCGAAATCCTGTCACGCAGTTCGAATCGACTTTTTCCTACATGGGGTTTGCACACCTTTTCGGAATCGAAACAGGAAGAGATTCCATCGAAGCTTTTATAACTGATCCTAACGGTATCATGGCAAAATTTGCAAACAGTTCACCAGCAGAAAATGTCTTTCCTTATCTTAATTTGTTGAAAAATGGGCAGTTTTTTGACTTAGGATTGGACAGTATTTATTTTCACGACGAAGAGAAGGTAAACATGGCCATAGATGAGATTGCCCGAAATTTTAACCTAGTACTTTTGATGGAATATTTCGATGAATCTCTCGTCTTACTTGCCAACGAAGCATGCTGGGATGTAAGAGATGTTGTGTATTTCAAGCTTAACCAGCGAAAATCCGCAGACAAAGAAGACAAATTTTCTAACGAACTCGTTGAAAAAATTCGTTTGTGGAACCGAGCCGATGTGCTGCTTTATGATTATTTCAACAAAACGTTCTGGAATCAAATTAAAAAGTTAGGATCCGCGTTTAAGGCTGACGTAGAGCGTCTAAGATATTACAATGAAGTTTTGAGAGAATCCTGTTTAGTTCCCGGGGAGTATAATACAAAAGCCTACACCAAGCAAGCGAGACCAGTTCGTGGCTACGCCCTGAAGAAAAACCTGGACACCCCTCTGAAGACTCTTTGTGAAAAAATGATAACCAACGAGCTAGACTATTTACAACTTCTTACAGGACGAGTTTAAGTTTTCATCTCATGACGTATGATTAGTATAACCTTTTACAGCAAGGACTCCAAAACTAGGTGTGACCTCCTTTAATTAACTCACATTCTTTCATGTAGACATTAAGAAGCGTAGGACAGTCTCCAGCTGGCCTCTGATTGGATTGAATCTGTACGAAAGAATGTGAATAAATCAAAAGCGGTCACAATTTTTGGGCTCCTTGCTGTAAGAGATACCGTTTTTCAATGATTTTCCGTATTTTCGTTAACATCGAGCTATTCGTCATTTGCACGCGCCCATAATACACCTTGTTCGCACCCCCACCCCCCCCGGAAAAAATATTGCACAACCTTTGTTTTTAAATTCTCCTGATATTTCAGTGGTCCCAAGAGTAAATGAACACATGGTTAAGCAAAACTTTGGGCTGCAAACAAGGGATACTATGAAAGATGTGCAAATGGAGAATATGCGGTTTGCCTCATTAAAAAAACACAAATAAATAATTCGCATTTTATCTATAAAATCATGATCATCAGATAACAGAATAGATAATTTTTAATTCAGTTAAAAAACACTGGCAGATTTCGAGGTGGCAAGGGGAGCGCAACCGGAATCCCCTTTTTATCTGAAATCAGTTTAGAAAAACAAAAATTTTACACGTGTATGTGTTACATGCATGCATAGTGTCATAGTTTCTTTTTGTTTTACCGTTTTCTTTATTTAGGGCCTGTTTACATGGAGGTGGGGCACCCCAGGTAGGTGAGGTAACCCGCTTAGGTGGGGTAACCCGCCTGTCCATACAATCTTTCATTTTAATGTGATCACGTTTACATGTTAGGTGGGGTAACCCGCCACATGTTACCTCACCTACCAGGGGTCCCCCACCTTCATGTAAACAGGCCCTAAGTTGTAATATTGTATTACCTCCTTTGTTTTTGTCGCCACCAAGCAGAAACTACGGTATCTCAATAGGCCATTTGCGGCTAGTCATTCACGTGGTACAAAACCGTCATGCTGGAGAGCAACTAAAGTCGTACTGGGACAAGACAAACAAAAGGCATACATAGTTGTAACTGGTAATTTCAAATAATATATTTCCTTTGTTTGTCTTCTCCCAGTGCGACTTTTGCTCTCCAGCATGGTGGTTTTGTACCACGTAAATGGCTAGGTGCAAAGGGCCTAAACTTATGGAAAGGACAATTGTCTAAAAAGAATTATTTCCTGCACTTCAAATTGACAATGAAATTTAAGGAAGTAAGGTTCAAACTGGGTGTTGGACTCCGCATATGAAATGGGTGGGGATGCTCGTCGGAAATTTCGAATTAAACCCCTAAAGGAGACCGATCTGAGTGTTGCCCAAGCTTTCTTTGACCCCTAAAAGAGACCATGTTAAAACACAGACGATATATATATATATTTTTTTTTCACGTGCAGCCCTAAACGAGACCTTCACGGCTAAATATGACGGCGTTTTGCCCAAAACACCCTGAGTGAGACCAAAATCCGAAATTTACACCCCTAAGCGAGACGACGAGCATCCCTACCCATTTCATAAGCGGAGTTCCCCCCCCCGGGGGGTTCAAATGACAATGATAACCAACTTTCATAAGAAAGGCTTCTGCATTTTAAACAAATCGCACGTCTCTAGCGATGAAAATAAGCCTTTAAGGTATTAAAAAGTCGCAATTATTTACAAAAAATAAAATTAAAGATCAGAAGTTCGACACAAAGTGTCGATAAACTTATATTTGGGCTTTAGGAAGAAGTAACAATCCCAGGTAAGTAAACAGTGTCAATTATTGCAGAGTTATTACGGTGGTGGCGGGTAGAATTATTGGTGGCGATTTCGTTGGTGGCAAGATGACCGTAAACCACACTGAGTATCAACGTTCACTAAGACACGAACAAGTGAAAGTTAGAATACGGATGTTCTTTTGTGACTTTTCAGTAACTATGAAAAACATTGTATTTGATATAAGCCAGGGGCGTAGCCAGCCCATAGACCTGAAGGCCGGCGCGTACATATTTATGGGTTGATCACACTCAAAGTGTTGGTGAGGTCAGCACGAACTTGTCATGCGTGCAATTTTCAGGACATGTGGAAATGAAAGTCAGCTAGGCCTAAAACTAGTCGAAACGCTGGTTACGCCCCTGTATTGATCATGGCTTGTGAATGCGTAATGTTGAATTGTAGAAGTTGAATACAAAACCCGCGACTAGGAACATGTTTTTTAAGAACCTAAGGTAGTCCCCCTCTATACAAGAACCTGTTTAGGCTAAAATTTGAAACAGGTTCTTATTTTCTAACACTTGGGCAAATAAGATAAGTCAACATTCAGGATCCTCTTTGCCCCGGGTCTTTGGAGATTCGTGTCCGGTATCTCTTTAACTGCATGGTATACAGATTTTATACAAGGATAAGCTGGATACCACCAGATACTCTTAAAATGTATTTTTCCCTTTAGAAAATGAGAACTTGTTAACTCACTAGTTTCCTTCCCCCCATCTCATTTAGGCTCTGAATTCCACTTGGTGCCTCTTCTGGTTTAATTTCACAAGCCGTGCACATCAATGCACGTCGGGAGAGAGCAACCTCTTCCCCAGGTTCTTCTCGTTTTCCGATGCCTTCTTTTTAGGAGAAAGGAGAAAGCCTTGGGGAAGGACTGTAGCCTCCCACGCAGACGTTCTTAGGGGCTCGTCACGCGTTTCTGGCCCACGAACGTCTGCTGACTTGAGCGGAAAAACGTACACCAATCACAGCAGACTTCCAGATCTGGGAAGTGCACTTTGGACCTTGAGAAATTTCGCGCTTCACTTTATCAGTTTATACAGGACAAGTCGGATTAATAATAATCCGTGGATTATAATAATAATAGATTATAATATGGTTATTATAATCCGGTAATAGATTATTATAATCCAGTAATAGATTATTATAATCCAGCAATAGATTATTATAATCCAGTAATAGATTTAGGCACGGAAAAATTGGAAGGATTAGATTATTATTAATAATAATCATCCGGATTAATATTAATCTCTATTATAATCCAGATCAGAGCTATGACAGACAAACTGCAGACATTACACGCTGAACAAGGGACTGACGGGACATAACACTGATCACATCAGTCACACGATCACTTGCATATGTTAGAGCTGGTAGCGATGTTGAGCCTAGAAGTAAATAAAAAGGAACAAGCGCCTCTGGGCCAGCAAATCCGTGCGGTGGGCATGTGTTTTTACAAGAAAGGGGACCTTAAGAAAAATCTAAGGGCTGGACAGTTTTTCAGTGTAGCTTTTAAAGACGGATTGCCAGCTGGAATCCGGGTGAGTGCAGCACCGGAAACAATAATTGGAGGAGGCTGGATTGTTCAAGCTGTCGAACAGTCGGCATCATTCTCCCAGATTAGAGATGGCGACATTCTTGTGGAAGTGAATGACAAGGCACGTATAAAGTATCGTTATCAACGCATACAGGATATGTTGTCTGCAAGGTCACTTGCCAATATAACTCTAGAGTTCTTCCGTCCAGCTGAAATTGGTGCCAACACTTCAGTCAATCATACGCCTTCGTGGATGCCAACAGCTAACCCATCAACAACAATGGCTCCTTCTATGACACCAATCCTGAAACCCAGTCCTCAAACACAAACTCCTACTTTAAGTCCAGCATATACGCAGACAGTCCAAATCATGAAATGCTCCCTGGGAAATAACTATCTCTATGGATTAAACTCAGAAAGACTGAGTCTTTTAGAAATAACTGGAAAAGATTCAAAGATTTCCTTTGATGATGTGCGCACTGACATCCCTTTCACTTTGCTATTTTTTTTATTTATTAAGCTCTTTATTCTATTCTACGTTAAAAATCTTCATGGCCCTGCAAAAAATTCAGTTGCAACTGTATTACCAGCAGAGCTGAGACAACTGCCGACTTCTACTACTAAAATATAATAAAGTATAATAAGGAGTGCGGTTATTGACTGAATGTAATTAAGAGTTTTGTTCACAAACTACTAGCACAAGTAGCAAATTCGTCGTGGTTAGAATAGAATATTTTCTTTATTGAGAGACTTGTACAAATTTGAGCTATGTGGGATTATATTTATCAGATTAATATTAATCCTAATCGTTTAAGTTACGGCTCAAAGCTCAGTTATGGATTATAATAATCTATTACTGGATCTAATATTAGGATTAATATTAATCTGATTAATATTAACCCTACATAAGATTAATAGTAATCCTAACTGATCAAGGCACGGCTCAAACCTCAGTAATGGATTATAATAATCTATTACTGGATTATAATCATCATTAGGATTAATATTAATCCGAGTTGTCCTGTTTATAGCTCCAGAAAAGATCATAAAAGTTTCATGAAAACTGAAGACCTTACAGTTTTAGAACAAACTACTCAGTTAACTCACAAGCGTTCATACTAGTGGCTACCCTCACAATCTCATTGAAAAAAATTATCTCGGGGGTTAAATTTGTTGAACGGACGTCGGCTTTACTACAAAACAATAACGTGTCAAAAAAAAATTCTGCCTTTTGTTCAGTCTTACAAGATAACCCCGCCGTTGCATCACCTAAAGAACAACTTTACGAACAAATAACATCAAATCCAGCGTCCACAGAGAGAAATATACAAAAACCCAACGCTTCTCTGCTAGATTCTCGTTGGTCACCTATCACACTCTACGGAGCTTGTACGTACTGTAACGATGTTAATTTATGCATGTTAAGTTAATTTATACAGTTTAGTTTACATCCGGGATCTGGCATGTTTTGCGCGTTCTTCGCTTGTTGATGTACACTCGGCTTACAAGATTAAAACGTTGTGTTTGAGTGCTCTGGCGTTCCGTCATCCGTCTTAGCGAATACGTTACATGGTGTCAGAAGTGAAAACTAGTTTCTGCAATTGGTGCTGTCGAGGGATTATCGCTCAGCGAACCGGAAAGTGTTCTGGAGAGAGATTTGTTCGCACGCACGTGGTCAACCAACTCTGATCTGCGAACTGATACTGCCGTGTTTGGCGCTCGCCATTCATAACCTTCTTCACAACGAATAGCGGAAGACAACGGTGACTGGAATCGCTTTGTGTTTTCGAAAGGAAATCTCTGCCGAAGGAATCTAGCTAACTTCAAATTACTCAGTATGCCACCGAAACCCGAAGATAGCGGCGCGTCTGTGCAAGTACAAGAAGCCGTCGCACAACCAAATCTGGTACAAATCCCGATAAACATCCCATTGCCCTCAAAGTTAGAGTTCACAGGAAACTTGGCGACGAACTGGAAGAAATTCCACCGTGATTGGAACAACTACGAAACAGCTGCACGTCTAAAAGACCCTGAACACCCTGCTGTAAATAAATCGCTGAGAACTGCCACACTGCTAACCTGTATTGGCTCAGATGCTCTAGATGTGTACGAAGGCTTAGAATTCGAGACTGAAGACGATAAGAAGGACATTGATATTGTTCTCCAAAAGCTACAGCGTTATTGTATCGGAGAGACAAACGAAATCTACGAGAGATACCGATTTAACAAGAGAGACCAAGAACCAAACGAGTCTCTGGATGCTTACGTCACGGCCTTGCGCACGTTGGCGAAGACGTGTAACTTCGGAGTGTTAGAGAACAGTCTAATTAGAGACAGGATTGTCATCGGAGTAAGAGACAATCAAGCTCGCAAGAAGCTCCTACAAGTCTCCAAACTCACATTGAAGGAATGCATTGATATCTGTAGATCCTATGAGACCTCAAGCCAACAACTGAAAGAAATTAATCAGGAGGAAGTCAGCGCCATTAGTCAGTCTCATGAAAAGAAACCTAGAGAAATTCGCTGCAAGTTCTGGGCCAAAACGCATGTCTGGAACAAGCTTAAATGTCCTGCATGGGGGAAGACTTGCTCTAATTGTGGCATTCCAAACCACTTTGCGGTGGCCTGCAAAAACAAACCGCCTCCACCCAGTTCGGCCACATCCTCTAAACCTCCCACACCGAGACACGTCCGCAAGCCAGTACATGCAGCGGAGGATTCTGACTTTGACGAATATGTCGCCTGTGTTGATGTCAAGGAGCACGTCTGTGCGGTGGAAAATCTTGATCGTAAAGACAAACTGCTTGCGGTAATGCTATTAAATGGTCATAGAGTCCCATTCCAACTGGACACTGGTGCAACAGTGAACATCTTACCTGAAGAGTCTTTCAAAGAAGTATATGGTGAAGGCCGCCTATCCCTGCTGGACAATGCGGACGTAACTCTTGTTATGTACAACAAAACTGAGGAGAAGCCGATTGGCAAGAAACGTGTCCAAGTTGTGAATCCCAGAAATGGAAGAAAATACAGTGTGGAATTTGTAGTTGTAAAGGAAAAGGCAAGCCTCTGCTTGGCTTACGAGCCAGTGAGCAAATGCAACTCATCTCTGTGGTCCGACAAAACATCATGGCTATTCAGTCTGAAGAGCCTTCGCAGAGCAAAACACCACTTACAGCAGAATCTATCCTCAAAGAACATGCTGATGTATTCAGGGGAGAAGGAAAGTTAGAAGGTGATCTCCACCTTGAAATTGACCCGAACGTACCGCCAGTTCAACTCCCAACAAGAAAGGTGCCAATCGCCATTAAAGAAAAGCTAAAAGAGGAACTGGATCGTTTGGAAGGCCTTAACATCATCACACCAGTAAATGTTCCAACCTCCTGGATATCAGCAACTGTAGTCACTTTGAAGAAAAATGGCAATGTCCGACTGTGTGTGGACCCCAAACCACTTAACCAAGCCCTTAAACGCAATCACTACCCGCTGCCGACAATCGAAGATGTCCTTCCTGAGCTCTCAAATGCGAGGTGCTTTACTGTGTTAGATGCCAAAAATGGGTTCTGGCACGTGTCCTTGGACGAGGAGAGCAGCTATGCAACCACATTTGGTACTCCGTGGGGAAGATACAGATGGCTCCGAATGCCATTCGGCATCTCACCAGCCCCTGAAGAATTCCAGCGAAGACTGGATCAGGCATTAGCAGGACTGAACGGATGCAAAGCGATCGCTGATGACATCCTCGTATTTGGATGCGGAGCTGATGATGATGAAGCGGTAAGAGACCATGATGAAAAACTCATTGCTCTTCTTCAACGCTGCCGAGATAAAGGCGTAAAGCTGAACAGGGAAAAGCTGCAGCTAAGGCTCAAGGAAGTCGCGTACATGGGCCATGTGCTCTCCGCTGACGGGCTGCAACCTGACCCTGAGAAAGTCAAGGCAATCAGAGAGATGCCAACACCAACTGACAAACAGAGCATCCAACGCCTCTTAGGGATGACTAACTACCTGCAGAAGTTTGCCCCGAGACTTTCAGAGATCACGACTCCCCTACGTGAGCTCACTAAGAACGACAACGAGTTCCTTTGGGATGACCAAGTTCATGGTGCAGCCCTGGAAGAGACGAAGAGGATCCTTTCTACAACTCCAGTCCTAAAATACTTCGACCCAGGTGCCACGCCCACACTACAGTGCGATGCCTCTATGCATGGCCTGGGAGCATGTCTAATGCAAGACGGACATCCAGTCGCATATGCGTCCAGGTCCCTGACCCCCACAGAGGTCCAGTATGCACAAATCGAAAAGGAGCTATTGGCCATAGTATTCGCAATGGAGAAGTTTGAAACCTACCTGTATGGTAGGAAAGTGCTGGTTGAATCTGACCACAAGCCTTTGGAAGCGATCTTCAAGAAAAGCCTCCTAAGCGCACCAAAAAGGCTACAACGCATGCTTCTTAGACTCCAACGCTACGAGTTTGAAGTTTCTTACAAAAGGGGACCCTCCCTGCTTATGGCCGATCCCCTGAGTCGTGCGTATCTGTCGCTTAAAGAAGCCCCTGAGGATCAGGAAGACGTCATGACAGTCTCAGAAACAAGGTCGCCAACAGAGATAGAAGCAGAGCAAGTAAACATGCTACAGTATCTTCCAGTGAAAGATGAAACCCTCTGTCAAATCCAAAACCTTACTCAAGAAGATGCTATTCTCAAGACCCTCGCTGGCGTCATTAAACAAGGCTGGCCAGAAAGTAAGCTCCGTCTCACAACGGAAGTTCAAGAGTACTTTCCTTTCAAAGAAGAGCTCACACTTCAAAACGGAGTTATTTTCAAGGGAGACCGTGTTGTCATACCATTCCAAATGAGAGCTGAGCTCAAAATGAAGCTACACTCCAGTCATCTGGGAGTACAGGCATGCCAGAGACGAGCAAGGGAAGCTTTCTACTGGCCTGGCATGTACAAGGAGATTGAAGAATATGTCTCCCAGTGTGCAGTCTGCAATACATACCACCAAGGGCAGCAGAGGGAGCCCATGATCTCACACCCAGTACCATCAAGACCGTGGCAAGTCCTTGCTGTTGACC